AGCCTGATACTCAACCTCAGTCCAGTTTAGAAGGACTAGCTCTAAATGTTTCCGAACTCCGTGAATACAAGCAGAAAAGTTTTCTCCTTTGATTCCACCGCTCATTACAGTGTCGTTGGCGTATTTTAAAAGCAAACGTTGTTATCTGACATGATGAGATTTGTGTAGATGAAAAACTGTATGGTTGAAAGAACTGATCTTAGGAGGACACCGAGATGGCTTGGCAGTGTTCCAACGGGGTCCTAGGCATTCCGGCGATCTGCGATGTTCTGACAGCTACGTGAAGCGAAACCTTGGAGGGTATGGATTGCAGTTTGTATGCAACAAGATGGTCAACAGCGGTCATATGACTCCGTATTACATGCTGAATAGAAATCCGGAAAAAACAGCACTGTTCTGCTAGCATATCTTTGCCCAGCAGCTGAGCTACCTACTGCAGCAACAGACACAGTTAGGGCATTGATCGTAGTTCTTCACTTTCCAGATTCGAACTGAAACAAATCGAGACGGATCTGCCATAGTGCAGGTACAAGTGGCATCCTTTCAAAGAAATTGACAAAGCAGGATATGACAGTCACTGGCAGAAAATCCGTCAGTTCTGATGATCCAAACCTCCTCGGAACTGTCGTAACACGCGAAATGAGCCGTGCGGTTGAAAGACGCGTTCATCGCAAACAGCGGTCGAATAGTTCAATAAAAACCGAAGTCCAATTCGTCGGCGTGATGTCTCTTCACTACGAGTGACACTCCATCGGAAACTGAAGAAACTGTATCAGAAAGGTTAAGCAGGCAATGTGATGTATTTGCCACTCTGAATTCAAGTATGTCCTGTTGCCCATCGACGAGATTTTCTAGTTCCGTCCAAAACGAAGGATGAAGAGAGTTTGTCTTCGCGTAGGAATTAGCATTGGTTTAGCGCATAGGCACACAGGTAGGCGAAGCGCTTCGGTTCTTATATTCACCGAACGCTTTCGACACCCGCTACAGCTCATTAGAAAGAGTGAAACGCAGCTGAGAAAACGACAAAAGTTGAGACTGCGAATCTCTTCGAATGATTGACGCAAGTTCAATGAATGCCACCTTACCATTTCTTTGACACGCTTTTTCTTTCCTTCTCCCCAGCAGCTCTGATGTTAGTATTGACTGATATAAATAGTTCTTTTATGCTCTAACACGCTGTTGGTATACAAGATCACTTTCTCCATATGAATGATGATGTCAGAGTCCGCCAAAGCGGGCGAATCAGTGGTACTACGTTAAGTCTGGAGAGCGAGATGGCTTCAAGGAGGAACATTCGTAGATGTCCCGATGAACGTTAATCACTCACAGATTTCTACATTCTTCATTTGGTAATAAGCGAGGTGCTTCGTTGACGATGCAGTGGTCACCCATATTCAAGGCAGCTCGACGTAACATTTAATAAATTTCAGGCTAATGTTATGAAAATTGCTCCAACGTTGCATTTCTCCTAGTGTTGAAAGGCGAAAAGGTCGGCTAGGCTGAGCACTCAAAGAAAGCCCGTGTCTATGTGGTTAAGTTCTTGCACGAATACTGTTAGAAAATATTCACCAACTGGCGTAGTGTAGCTAACTGCATCTGTGAGTAGGAAATGAAGAAAGGAACGTTGGTAACTGGTTTTCCGTATACTTTCATCTCTAGGGTTCTTGTATGGCCCTTCTTCGTTAAAGTTCATGGTGTGGTGCTGATTTCAGATACTATGCCATCAGCCAGTACTACAAAGCAGAATATACAGCTGCGCAGCAAGCATAGAGTGCAGTTTCTTGTTTCCTTCCCTCCGAGTGGTCCTCATTCATCTACCTCGAAAAGAAGAATGGTAAATGACCGGGAGACTCGAACCCAGAACAATGTTGTTCTGAGTTCGACACCCTACTGATTGAACGGTCAGTTTGGAAAACCTAAATGTACCGGTAAGAGTGTAGGGCGTGATGTATAGGCTAATGTGAAGGACTAGTTTGAAATGGCTGATAACCTTTGGGCGCCGTTAAGTATTGGACTCTCGATGCCGTTGTCTGAATAGGTACATTGGACGGAAGTTGATACAAGTCATTCTTTTTGTATCCGTGTGATGACCTCTTCCGCGCGATTTGTGACTACCATTTCAGTATGTGCTGCAGTGGCTGATGCAGTCGGTATTTATATTTTTGCTTTG